GACCAGCCGGGCTGTGGCTCATACATTGGTTTGCGTGCAACCAGCAGTAACAGCCTGGTTGATCAGGCTCTGATCCACCAGGAGGCCTGGTCACAGACCGGGCCGCGGGGGCGTTGACCCCCGGAACTCTCTCCAGGTAAACTCCAGGTAAACTATTTGCCAGATCACGGAGTGAAGAAGGATTCTAAGACCACTCCTCTGAGAATTATGTTTAATTTTAGTGCCAGGAGTAACAAAAATGTACCTAGTTTAAATGACTGTTTGATGACAGGTCCTTCGTTGATGGAAAAATTAGGAGATATCTTATTAAATTTCAGAGTGAAGCATTATGCCTTTACGGCTGACATAAGTAAAGCTTTCCTAAAAGTGGGTTTACAAGAGGCTGACTGGGATTGTACCCGCTTCTTATGGCCTGAGAATCCTAGTGACCTACTTAGCTCTCTGAAAACCTTTCGCTTTAGGAGCATATTATTTGATGCTACATCCAGTCCGTTCCTACTTCAACCGACGATAAATGCACAACTTAAACGTATGGAAAGTTCATTGAGTAAAGTAATGAGCAAACAATTTTATGTGGACAATTTCCTGGGTGTGACGTCAACTGAAGAGGAACTGTTAATGACTTATAGAGATGCTAATAAAATAATGCAAAGTGCAAATATGCCTCTGAGGGAATGGAATAGTAATTCGTCCAAATTAAAGGACAAAATAAGTAAAGATTACCCTGGAGATGAAGTACCAAAATGTAGTAATGTATTGGGATTAACATGGGATACTGAGAGAGATTTGTTAATGTTAGAACCTAATAATTACAGTATGCCCAATACAGTATGCCCAATACTGCTTGCTGAAGTTTCCAAATGTTTTGATCCAATAGGTTTAGTGTCACCCCTTACTATAAGAGGGAAATTATTAATACAGGAAGCATGGAAACTTAAATGTGCTTGGGATGAAATACTACCTGAGGAATTCATTAACAGGTGGGATGAATTAATTGGTGATTATGAAAAAATTTCAATGTTGGAGTTCCCATGATAGGTGGCCAATCCAAATGGGAAAAATGTACTCCACATTTTTTGTGATGCTTCAAAATTGGCATATGGAGCAGTTGCTTACCTTCAATGTAATAGTGATATTTCTCTTGTTATGTCTAAGGCTAAAGTGTCTCCAATAAAATCATGTACCTTACCTCAGTTTGAATTAACAGCCATTTATGTAGGTGTCAAATTAGCTAATTATATAAGAAATAAGTTGCAGGAGATAAATATTAGCGACACTGTAATTTGGTCTGATAATGAGGTATCCTTACAATGGATTCGTAATGGAAACAGTAAAATTGTGTACGTGCAAAACAGAGTCGCTGAAATTAATCAGATGCAAGAGAAGTATAATAGTTTGGGTCAGATATGTTTAACATTTTCATATATACCTGTGAGAGGAATCCAGCTGATTTCTTGTCTCGAGGTTTACCTTATGCTAAATTGTAAATCGCTGTATCCATGGTTTAAAGGACCGAGCTGGTTGGTAAATAAAAGCTAATTGGCCCTTGTACAAAATGCGTATATCGCTCCTGTTGAAATTACTGTGACCACCACCGCTCTAAAATTTGCCCCTTCCTTAAAGCCATTTGATATAAATAGGTATCCTCTTTAACCCAAACTAATCATTGTAAATAAATTGGTGTTAAAAAATTTCTAAACAAAGATGTAATTTCATAAAGTTTTCACATCCTCTTGAATATTGGATAAAAGAGGGACAGAGGAAATCTATGAAATGAGATTAAATTGATGATGGAAAGAAAAATTGTGAAAAAGGTTCCATAATAGAAAATTGGGGCTGTATTTAGAGTACAGTGTAATTAAGGTGCAGAGGTAGGGTTACAAAATGCTGAATTGGGATTATTGCTAAACAACCATATCTTACTTTCCCAAAACTCATCATCTAACAAATTTGATTGTTTCTAAATGCCAAGAAAATGTAGTGCATGGTGGGGTACAAGATACATTAAATTGTATTTAGGAAACTTACTGGATTCCCCAGGACAGCAAGTGTAAAAAGGGATTAATCTTGTGTACTATGTCGCCGTGTGGATGCCAGATCCTATTATGTACCCATGTCCTCCACCAATGCCAAAGGAGCGTGTACAATTAGTGAAACCATATGAATGTAACAGGTGTAGACTATAGGTGTCATATAATTTTAACAAGGTATGTCATCTGGTGTTCCACTGAAAGTGTATGTTTGTTGTTCAACCCTTTACTGCTACTAGGGCAGTTCATTTAGAAGTGGCACAGGACTTGTCTGCAGAACAGTTTATAACAAGCTGTTTCGAAAATTTGCATCTAGGAGATCTTGTCGCGAGGTTGATGATTATGAGTAATGCCACAAAATTTGTAGGCAGTCAGTGCTCAACACTTGAATAGAATTAAATAATAGTAACGATATTCAATCTCTGTTAAGCCGAGCGAGGGTTGTACCTGGAAATTTATTACTCCTAGAGTCCCTTGGCAGGATGGCTGTACGAAAGACTGATAGGCACAGTGGAAGAGGTGTCCACGGCAAAGTAACTACACCGTAAGAGAGATTCAATTTGGATGGAATTCCGTGCAGTGTTTTAGTGAGGCAGAAATCATATAAATAATGTTAAGGCCTCTCGTTCGTACAGTGAGTGATAACCTGTGCAGATTGTATTACACACCTTCTCACCTAATATGTGGAAGGAAAATTGGAAGCGCTGCCCGTCTATAGAGATAATCCAGAAGAAGGTGATGAAGATTACAATGATGCGGGCAGTGTTGTGCAATAATTTAAAATGTTAAATAAAGTAATTGATCATTGGTCTAATGTGTGGCGTAAGGAATATCTTCTTACACTACGTGAACACTTTTATGGTGCGACAGAGGCAGTAAATCGACAGACCATTCAACCAGGTGACATTGTGTTAATTGACACTGAACAACATCGAACACTGTGGCCTCTGGGCAAAGTATTGACATTGTACCCAGATGCACAAGGTGTTGTCAGGAATGTCAAAGTGTTGTGTTGTGGCCAAAGCTCCCGCTTCACACACGGAGGGCCCGGGTTCGATTCCCGGAGGGTGGAAACATTTCGACACGTTTCCTTACACCTGTTGTCCTGTTCACCTAGCAGCAAATAGGTACTTGGGTGTTAGTCGACTGGTGTGGGTCGCATCCTGGGGGACAAGATTAAGGACCCCAATGGAAATAAGTTAGACAGTCCTCGATGATGCACTGACTTTCTTGGGTTATCCTGGGTGGCTAACCCTCCGGGGTTAAAAATCCGAACGAAATCTTATCTTATCTCATCTTATCTTGATTCCCTTGGAATTAGGTGTTCAATCAAACGTAAATGAAAATCTGAGGGAAAGTGACACGAGTGATATGGAAGATAACGCAGACCAAGTGATGCCAGAAGATGAAATCGTAGTAAGACCTACTAGGAGAACAGCCACTCAAGCCAGAACTGGCTGGAATCGTCTCCTAAAGGAAGGAGTAATTTGAATCGTTTAGCAATGAACTCCGGCCGGCCGCAGTGTGGAAAATACTGTATATATTTTCCAGAAATTCAGATATATATAGTAAATAGATGCCATACTGTATTGTAATAATATTATGTCATAGATAACGGAAAGCCTGCGTCTGCGCATAGGAGAATCGCCATCTTGGTTTTGATTTGGATACAACATTAATATAATGGGAAGAAATTTTCGTGCTCTAGAGGTTAAATTGGATGACACCTTCTCAAATAGAGGCGAAATTGTTTGGATGTGCATTCCTGCATAACTTGAATATCAGAAGACTGGACAAGACAGCTCCAGAACCTCAGATAGCCCCTATATTTGTGTATAATTCTGGCCATGTTTTCATAAATTTAGTTATAGAGGTTTTTCTGAGTATGATACAACCTAATATCCAGTCAAATTGTGAGTGATATTAAGATATATTTTTCTTCTGTTATGTATATGTGAATTTATATATAATCATTTTTTAATATACAGTCCACAAATTTATATATATACCAGTATTCCTGGTGATGTATAATTCATTTAATTAATAGGTCCAGAGCAACTTGTGGAATATGAAGTGTAGTATCGAAGGGACATTTTTTGCGACCTAGGTGTCCCAAATTCTACGTTGTCAACTGATAAATAATAGTTATCTATGCTTTTTTATTGTTATGTACATAATTATACATACAGATAAATGCAATTTTCCACAATATCTTTTGTCTTATACAAATTTGATTCACTTATAATTAATAATCTACTGTACAATTATGAAATAATTACTATCTTACTGTACAACTATGATATAATCCTTAGTATTAAGTAGAATGTAAGCCAATAATGTTAAGTTGGCCCATAATGCCAAGGCATAATAGAGGCTCTCTTTGTATTGCAACCCACTATTGTAAATACAAAATCTCAATGTACTGTTTGCAAAGACATAAAATAAATAAATATCATACATAGCAGTATATGTGTAGAGAACCTAGGATAACTAAAAAAAGTTAGGAAAAGTGACTTATTTCCATTGAGGTCCTTAACTGCCTCAGGGGATTTCTCGCCTGAGACACTTGTCCTCATCTACTTTGCCCGCCGGTAACATACAGGAGGGGGCACCATTAATCGGCTTACTTCTCTAGCCAACTTATTTTGTCCGCTTTTTTTGATATTCCTCTATTATGTATTGATAATTCATTAACGGTTAGAGGGTAGCCGGTTTCAGACCCTAAGGTGAGGTGTGGGAGTCTCTCTCTGTGCTGGGTTTGAAAGGTGTCCCACCTGATTTGATGGGAACTTCTAGTTTCCTGTTTCTATTTACAAATGAACTCTTTTTTTAATTTTTCTTCATGGTCTCAGCTTGGAAACAAAACATCCCGAACATCGGGAAGTCGGTTCGATACTGCGTAATCTTTTAGTAGGCACCTGATAAACCCAACAAACACAAGTGTGTTGTGTTTGCCTCGTGTCCTGCACAATAACACTTATCATGGAGTAAGTATTTGTATATAATTGAATTATGTTTAATGTGAAGCTCTAAACACATGAAGGTTGTGTGTTGTAAAGATTGGTGGTAAGCTCGATCCTCCACCTTCACCTTATTTACCTGGAGAGTTTTCGAGGGCAACGCCCCCTCGCCCGGTCTGAGCCAGCCTAATGTTGGATCGGGTCTGATCAACCAGGCTGTTACTGCTGGCCGCAGTCAAGTAGCTGACGTACGAATCCACATCCCTGGTTGATCAGATACTGACTTTAGATCCTGTCCAGTGCCTTCTTGAAGACAGTCAGGGGTCTAGTTGGTAATCCCCCTTATTATGCTGGGAGGCAGTTGAATCAGTCTTGGGCTCCGGTTCACTTATTGATTTCTCTCAGTGGTGCTCCTGCTTTTCATCGGGGAATGTTGAATCTCCTGGCTGAGTCTTTTGTTTCATAGGGAGTGATTTTCGTGTGCAAGTTTGGTACCAATCCCCCAGACCTTCAAGTGTATTTTAACATGTATCACTCTCGCCGCGTTCGAAGGGAATTACAGATCAAGGACCTTCACTGTTTCCCAGTATTTGGGTTCCTTATCTGATTAGTGTGCCGTGAAAATTCTTTGTACAACTCTCACTCTTCAGGTCTGCAATGTCGCCAACCTTGAAAGGGGTGTTAGTGTGCAGCAGTATTCCAGCCTAGAGACAACAAGAGATTTGAAGAGAATCATCAGGGCTTGGTGTCCCTAGTTTTTGAAGGTCTCATTATCCCATCCTATCAATTTCCTAGCAGATGGGTAATACATTGTTTGTGTCTTTGAAGGTCGAGATCCTCTGACATTATCACTCCTAGGGTCCCGCCACATTACTTTTCTGCTCTATTGTATGGTTATAATTTGTTGGTATACCCTGATACATTTTTGATTTCCTCAAGTTTTCTCATATCTGAGTAGTTGAAATTCTCCCTCGTTGAACTTTCATATTGTTTTGAGTGCCCATTCAAGGATTTGGTGATGTCCACTTTTGAATCTCCGCAGGTGATCCTCAATGGAGTCCCACTGCTATGATAACCGGTTGCATCCACAAAGAAGACACGGAACTATGGCTGACATCACTTCCCTATGTCAGAAAAGAGGATGAGGAATAGGAATGGAGCGAGTACTGTGCCTTGTGAACAGAGGCCTTTTCACTGTAGCTGCCTCAGAACTTTACTCTGTTTACTATTATCTGTGTTCTATTTGTTAGGAAGTTATAGATTCATCTACCAACTTTTCCTGTTATTCCTTTATCACGCATTTTGTGTGCGGTTACACCATGTTACACTTGTCGAAAGGCTTTTGCAAAGTCTTTGTATACATCTTTCAATTTGTTATCTTCTACAGCATCCAGGACCTTGTCATAATGGTCCAGTAGCTGGGACAGGCAGGAGCGACCTGCTCTAAACCCGTGTTGCCCTGTGTTGTGTAATTGATGGGTATCTAGGTGGTTGGCGATCTTGCTTCGTGGAACCCTCTCAAAGATTTTAATGATATGGGAATGTTAGTGCGTAATCGGTCTGTGTTTTTTCTTTGCAATTGCTTTACTGCCACCTTTGTGGAGTGGGGCTATGTCTGTTGTTTTTAGTGTGTGTGGAATGACTCCTGTGTCCATGCTACCTCTCCATAAAATGCTGATGGCACATGATAGGGGCTTCTTGCAGTTCTTGATGAACATGGAGTTCCTTGAGTCTGGGCCTGGGGCAGAGTGTGTGGGCATGTCATTTATTGCCTCTTCAAAGTCTTGTGGAGTTAAGATAATTATTTTTTTTTATTATCACACTGGCCGATTCCCACCAAGGCAGGGTGGCCCGAAAAAGAACACTTTCACGTCATTCATTCACTCATCACTGTCTTTGGCCAGATGGGTGCTATAACACTACAGTTTTTTAAACTGCAACATTAACACCGCCCCTTCCTTCAGAGTTCATGCACTGTAACTTCCCATCTCCCATGACTCAGTCGCGGGCTCCGGTTTCCTTCCCTGAACCCCCTTCATAAATGTTACTTTGCTCACACTCCAACAGCACTCCAAGTATTAAAAATCATTTGTCTCCATTCACTCCTATCAAACACCCACGCATGCCTGGCTGAAAGTCCAACCCCTCAACTACAAAACCTCCTACCCCCCCCTCCAACCTAAGAAATATGTAAATGGAAATCAAGTTAATCTGTACCTGACACCCCAAATTATGAAAATTTTTTTTTTTTATACCACATAAAATATTAATTTTAATTACACACAAACTGAAAAGACATGCACAATTACTACTCTGCAAGAATAAATACATGACACTTACCTTATTGAAGATCTGGGTGAATTGATTGATAGATGGAGGAGGGAGAGTGTGGAAGTTAATTGTTTAGAGGGGAATCCCCTTCCATATAGGGACTTTGAGGTAACAATCCTTTTCCCGGGGTTACTTTCCTTCTTCTTTTAATGCCACTAGGACCAGCCTGAAAATCACTGAACCCTCTGTCCGCACAACAAATCTGTCCATAGAGCACTGTACCTCTCCCCGTTCCTTTAAGACTTTTCCTAAAATGGGCCATAACTTTGTCATTGTACAGGTTGCCACACTCCTTGCAGTAGCTGTGTCAGGTGATTTTCATCCATAAAGTTTGCTGTTCAACCCACTTTGCACCCCCAAACATTTTTTTTCCTTAATCTTTTTTCATTCGATACTAATTCTCGCTCTTTTCTTACCACAGGGATGGCACTAGAACTTTCTTGGGTCCATGGTGACTTTTTTGCAGTTACAAAGCACTAAAACACTGGGATAATGGTGAAAGGTACCGTTGCCATGGCGTAAGATGCGACCGCACTGGGCTGGCTTGTAAACACTGGGCTGAGGCCACACCTGGGATGGGGTCCCGGACGAATCACGTAAGGCTAGTTTTTTTAATCGTGAGGCGAGGCAAAATTTTATGTGTCAAATGCTTTGTATGGCGGATTTAACGTAATCGTCGATGTGTTTCGTGGAGGCAGGGTCCCCTGTATATTATGGCCAACACACTTGTATGGTGTGAGGGTGGTTGGTGAATGTTGCTAACAAGGAGAAGGCTTGAGGCAGTGAGATGTCATGCCTGAGGGCAATGTGAGGTGTGAATATAATGCAAAGAATACCGTTAGTTTGGAGTTTGGGAGGAGGTATGCAGGATTGCCAAAACTATTTAACTCCATAGGGCTGAGAGAGGGGTTATTGAATGAGGTTGTTTTTGAGGTTGTTTGGACATGTAGAGGAGATAGAACGAAATAGAATGACTTCAAGAGTGTATAAAATCTGTAGTGGGAGGGAAGGCGGGGTAGTGTGTCGGCCTGGATAGGTTGGAGGAGAGGGTAAATGAGGTTTTTTGTGCGAGGGGCTTGAAATTTTCCAGCAAGCGTACATGAGCATGTTAGATAGGAGCGAATAGAGACAAATGGTTTGTAGGACTTGACGTGCTGTTGGAGTTTAAGCAAGGTAACATTTACAAAGGGATTCGGGGAAAACCGTCAGTCTGGACAACACTTAGTTTGTTTGTGCTTTTCAGGAAAAATAACAAACGAGATCATGAAGAGAGTGATTCATCTTCACCAGAGAAGTTCATGAGAATGGAAGACACTACACACGCCATTAACAAGTATAACAGTAAATTATTGTACTGTACTGTACATATATCATTTTAAATGCCTTAATTCATGGTTATATATAATGATTGATTATTCCATCAAGTACTGTATCATTAATGACAAACTGCTGCAGTGTTACTTTTTATCTCTTTAATAAAATATATGAGTTCTTGAGGATATTTTAGTGTATGTTACACTGATGGAAGTATCATACTTGAAAATTATTAAAATACTAAATCTTTAAAGTTAATACTATACATTACTTTTCAGTAATGTGTGTAAAGTCAATACCCTTGCTCAGTTCCAATCTGAGACTGGTGAAACAGCTGGTCCTCCCATTGAGCTACCTCTGTCTCTGGCTCGTGATAAACTCCAACAAATTCTAAATACTCTACTTGAACAGGTATGTTTAACATGTTTTTGTGATTTATGATTATTTCTATGAAATGTAGAATATACTTCTAGGTATTTAAGAGTAATTTTAGATAAGCATATAACAAGTTGGAATTATTACTTTACTTGTAAATAAATAAAGCATAACTTGCTATAATATGGTTATGGGAGATAAGAAATGCAGTGGAACCTCAGCTTACAGTTCAATCTGTTCCATGACATAGCTCGTATCTTTATCTGCTCGTATGCTGAGTCAATTTTCCTCATTTAAATTAATTGAAATGCCATTAATCCGTTTTAGCGGAATTCCTGCTCTAATGAGGCAGGACAAAATGCTTTCAGTATAACGCTAATATCAACTCTTTGGCTTATTTATCTATCACAATTCATCTAATAATAATAATAAATAATAATAATAATAATAATAATAATAATAATAATAATAAAACAATATAAATAACACAGAAACTTGATATATACTCTAGAATGAGTAAAACATGTCATTACATATGTGACTATGTAGTGGTGGTGGCGGCAGAGGAGATTTTTGTTGTTTGGAGACAAGACAAAATGCTACTTCAATACGATGCTAATATAAACTCTACAGCTTATTTATCTATCATAATTGATCTATATAGATATAATAAACAATATAAATAACATAGAAACCTGATATATACTGTAAATGAATAAAATATGTCATTATGTGACAAGTGGAGAGCCATTTCCACTCCTGCATTGTTGTGGTATCACTGCCATCTAGTGATGGCTTTTCGAAGCTCACTTGTTATAGTACGTATTATTATTATTATTATTATTATTATTATTATAGTTTTATTATATTATGTGTATGTATTATTATTATTATTATTATTATTATATTATATTATATTAATTATTATTATTATTATTATTATACAGTGGAACCTCAAATATCGAACTTAATCCGTTCCAGGAGCTAGTTCTAAATTCGAAAAGTCTGAAAATCGAAGCAATATTTTCCCATAAGAAATAATGGAAATACAATTAATTCGTTCCAGAAACCCAAAAATATTCACAAAAAGATTTTATTTTATAGAGATTAATTACAGTTTTACATACAAAACAACAAATATAGTGTTCAATTATGTATATAAATAAAAAAATAAAATTTTTACTTACCTTTATTGAATATTGGTGATGGCATCGGGAAGATAGGGAGAGGAGAGAGGGAGTTGGGGTTAATGTTTGGAAGCAGAATCCCCCTCCATGAGGACTTCAGGTAAAACCCTCTCTGGAGTTACTTCCCTTCTCTGTCTTTTAATGCCACTAGGTTTCAGCTTGAGAGTCACTGGACCCCTGTCTCACAAAATAACTGTCCACATCCCTCTGTTTTTTGGCGCCTTTTAACATTTCCCTTTAAAATGGGACATGGTTCTGTCACTGAACGGGTTTTCCGGGATTTTTTCTGTACCAGATCGGAAATGCAACTTCCTTGCCTTTTCGCAAATAATCATCTCTGTAACACTATCACCTGCCATCTCTTTTTCCTTTGATCCAAAACCAGCAACAACTTCTCAACCTCTTCAACTATCTGTGTCTTTTTTGGTTAGCATATTAACACCTTTCCCCAACATCAGCTTCCTTCATTTGTTCTTTTTTTTGCAGGATAGAAGCGAGGGTCGACTTTTTTTCCCATCCATCCTGGCAAGCTCACCCAAGTCCTCGCACCACTCTCAAAACTTCTGTATTTTTTCCCTTTCTTCACATCTATGGTGTTTCTCACTTTTTTTACCACAGGGTACCACTAGCAAAGTTTCTTTGGGCCCATGGTAGCTTATTTCACAGTCCCACAAGCACTAAACACAATGAAATAATTGTAAAATGTTTGAATGAGAGCGTGGGTTTTAGTGTTTCGCTCAACATCAACAAAGCCAGACTGGCTCACGGCGCGGGGGGGCTCCTGGGCTGGCGGACAGGTGGGGTACCCGGCAGCCCTGAAAATAGGGGTGCGTTCGATAATAGGGACAAATTTGGGTTTTCGAAAAAAGGGTTCTATTTTTGAAATGTTCGATAAGTGATATTACGAAATTTGAGGTTCCACTGTATTATTATTATTAAACAGTGAAACCCCAAATTTAGTCCCTTAATCTGTTACAGAAAGTCGATCTAAATCCGAAACGGACGAAAATCGAAGCCCAATATTTCCTATAAAAATAATATAAATCCAATTAATATCCGTTTCAGATACCCAGAAATATTAACAAAAAATAAATTTTATAGAGAGTAACTATAGTGTTGCAGCTCTTCTCTGTGGTTGTCCACCAACTCTTTCACATCCTGGGCCACTCGCATCCAACCCCATGGACTTTCCCCAAAGTCACAATAGATTCCCCAATAGGCATAGGGTTGTCAAGTTTACACTAACTTATATTAAGTTAGTAATAGAACTAGGCATTAAAACACAATAAAAAGTAAAATACATACACAGTATATTCATTACGTACCTTTAAAAAATTTGTAGTATTTATTCGTAGTCCCAGGCCCGGGCTACATCCGCCTAAGCTATACTACTGGTTACATACACTGAGGCCCAAGCCATATTATTACCATCGACATACCATGTTCACTGAGTTTAATCGTTTTTAACAACACCTTTTGATGCCACATAAACAAAGGGAAAACTAATGAACAATTCATGCCTAGAACTGTAAAAAAAGCGTTATGTAAAATGTATTAAGGAAAGGGGACTGGGCCAGATGCAGATTCATACAGTTTTCTGTAATGCTGGAAACCCGAGAAAATGTAATGTTTTTCCCTCCAACTGCTCCCCTCTTTAAGATTTCCCTAATATGGGACATGGTTCTGTCAATGAACTTGTTGCAAAGATGGCTTTTTTTCAGCTTGCTCAGGGTGGTACTTCTCCACAAACATTTGACATCATTCCACTTGGCACAAATTCTCTTAACTCTTTGAAGAAGGGACCTCATCCCTCCCCTTCCCCCTCCTCTGAAGCAAGTTCCTGAGCTGTGGTCTGATACTGTTTCCAGATGAAGCTCTTGCAGCTCTTCAGTGGTTTTGCTCTTCCCTGTGATCCTCCACCAATTCTTCCACATCCTATCACCTTTACTCCAGCCTCAGGGGGTTTCCCCAATGCCATAATATAGTCCACAACAGGCAGGGGTCAGCTGGGACAGGGTCAGGGTCAGCCTCAAACCCTTCAAATCCCTCTTTTGGACACAATCTGGCCACAGTTGTCTCTAACAGAGTTCAAAAACCCTGGAAGTCACTCCCCTCCCAAGCCTTACCTATAAGGCTTATGGAGCTGTAGATACTGAAGTGATTCCTCCAGAACTCTCTTAGGGTCAACTTAGTGTCTGTGGCACTTCAAAGCACTTTTCCCAAAAACTGCTTTTGTGTAGAGTTTTTTGAAGCTAGAAATGACCTGCTGTTTCCCTGGGCTGGAGGGGAGGAGTGGTGTTAGGAGGCAAGAACTTCACTGTGATGAAACTGTAGTCCCCCAGACAGTAGGTCTACCAGGTTTGGAGGATGACAGGAGGATTGTCCATTAACAGGAGGCACTTAAAGGCAAATTATTTTCTGGGAGGGATTTTCTCACACTGGGGCCAAACACTTCATAGACC